TTTACATCAATCAATTTTATCGACTCAGCGGATAAATCAGGCCGATAAATCAGGGTCACTGCAGGACCCAGCGAACATTGATTCGCTAGATTCTACGATAACCCTGACTTCAGTCTGATAATCCACTGGGTCGATAAGATTAATAATGACATCTCGTGACAGACGTTGCAGCCGTACAAAGGCGACGATAATGACGTTTCTTAAAGTAAAAATTTCCAAATCGGACTTTGTGTAGCAATATCTCTGCTTGTAGGGCACGTAGCAGAAAAATAAAAATACTCTTATTATGCAAGTCGGACTCAAGCTATCGATCAAGCCTACTTAGAACTTGATCAGTATAGCCGTTATTGAGATTCGATAATTTCAGGTACTCGAACCTCGACGACTCGCGTAAAGTCACACGGCAGTGTTCTCGGTTGACTTGACACCCGAGACACTACCGTATCTCCTGACTACTTGAATTTAATAAGATTGTGATATAACACTTGGGTTTAAAGGAAAATACTTAAGTGCACAGATATAGTACTTAGATTTTAATTCTATTTTTTTTATGATATTGAATACTTAAATAAATGCCATTTAGATAAATTTTCCTATATCTGATACTCTTTTTTACCTTTTAATAAAAAGGTAATAGTATTACTATTTTTACATCATTTTTCTTCTACATTTTATTATTGTGAATTATAAAATAAATATTTTCTATGTATTGTATAAAATCTTTTATATATTATAAAAGAATAAAACAATATTGTAATTTACTCCGATTTATGATGAATGAAATTCAAAAAATATGAATTTGTGTATAGGTGAACGTGTTGATTTTATTATTCACGCAAACCAAACTCCGGGTTTTTACTGGTTACATGTACGAGGACTTGGGGAATGTGCAGAAAAGCAAATATATCAATTAGGAATTCTCGCTTATCAGAATACTTCTAAATCATCGCTATCATCGAATCCAGGATATTCGTTTCGCACATCTAGTAATGTCGTGAGTATAATATACAGAAAATTATAAAGTAAATTATTTAAAAAAATTATAAATTATATTTAATTAAAAAGTATACTGTGACCGCCGCCCCTGAAGACCGTCCCTCGTAATGTAAATTACTAAATATTGGGCGCCAGACACGAGCGCGTGCCACTCATTTATGCAAGGAAAAAAATCGCAAACTGGATCTTGCATCACAAAATTTAAATTCACATACTCTAGATGATAGTCCAGCAGCTCGATTTGAATGGTAGAGGGGGGAGTTCGCTAGACGGGGCGTGAGAGGAAAGGAATCAAAAAAATGATGCAACAAAAATTAACTAAGTCTAAAAGAGAGACTAATAACTAAGAGAACAATCCGGATGCCTTTAATTTCGACTCGAATCATTACATTCCCTTATCTCGATTGTCCGCTGATGACATGACACATTTCGAAAAGTACTCGAATCTCATAATGACAAAGAACTACACCAAAAATCTTTACACTAAACAAGTAACACGACGGTGCGATAAATAATCAGGAAATATCCGCGGTATTCTCAGTACGATGCTTTCGCCTGATGATTCGAGCTCGGCAGCCCTCCTCCGGTCCTCAACTTAATCCTCTTGTGCTTATTATTTCCTGGCTTCTGCGTTCACTTATTTTCACCAGAAAAGAATAATGTGTCCTCGCGAACCCTCGCGACATCGTGGTGGTCGTCATCCCCTCTCTGCATATCGATCAGCGCCGCAGCGCGATCAGCCATTAGATTTTTAGATTTCGGCGCTGATCCTAGGCCCGCGTTCCGCTGATCCCGCGGGAGATTCGAAGGCTGCGATTCTTTAGCTCGATGGAGCTTGACGGTGACCCCGAGGATCCTCCTAGTACATCGGTCCTTCCGATGAGAGGAGACTGTCTCTCCCGGCTCAATTACTCGTTCTCGTATTCCTCGGTTCGTTTTCTTCCATGTGGGATCTCCTCACAATTTCGCGAGGAGTAGCGCCTGCCCTCTCAATCGCCCTTCGATTCCGTTGTGCGAGCTCTCGACTCCTGCAAAACGTCGCGCTACAATACGGGGACTTGTTTACCGAAAAAGAAATTCGGCAACTATTTAGGGCGATACGATCTTATAATTCTTTGCATCCGGTGGCAGTGGCATCCTCTTCGAATTCGGATGTCGCGAGTTGTCATGGCAGGTGGTCGCACAAATATCGCGGCAGTCGCCAATCTCGTCAATTAAATCTAACATTGTAGAAGCCTAACTCGAAACGATAGTAATGAAAACAAGAAGAAGACAAGAAAATTCGCGCACGCGAAAATGATGCACGCAGATTGTGTTACTCGTAGCTTGCCTGCGCTCTTGTCCTTCAAAAGGGTGAACGCAGGACCCAGAAATGCTTCGAATCAAAATAGCTAAACCTTGTGACGGGCGGTCTCAGGGCACTATGTCACAATACATATGTATATTGTAATGTGTGTGCGTGCGTGCATATATTTGTAAGAATTAATAATTCGTTAACTATTGCGAAAATTGCAAAATGGTAGACATGGCATATACAAATGACTTTTTAAATAAAAATAAACTATAAAATATAATATATTTCACTGTAAAGTTCTTTTTATTTTATTAAATTATTATAGAAATTGGCACCAGTTCTTATCACGTCTTTTGTATCACTATAAAATTTATTACTAAAAAAAACTTTTGTAAATGAAAATTTTTGTATAAAATTCTTTCTTTTACATAAATAAGAAAAAAGGCGCATGAACTTGGCGTTATTTTTTACCTTTTTTAAAAGGTAATTTTTTTAAGATATCACTCATTTTTTTAATAACTAATAATATCTATTATTCAGCATATTTGAAACATTTTTATACTTTATATATACTAGAAAGAACATACAATCAATAATTATTTTTTAATAATCTTTTGTAAAAAAAATATACACATTTTTTTGTTCCTAAGCCATTTTGTCTTATTAATTTGCACATCATCAATGTCTATCCATCCATTAGATGTTTCATCTCTACACATACTTTTATATATATGACCATCTTCAATAGATGATCCATTGAAAAATGGCATTCATTACCTTATAATATTGTTCCCCTGTACTGATATTGTAATTGTTGGTACTGCACGCAAATTAAATTGATCTGTTTTTATTAATTTATCATTTTGTTCTCATTTTCTGAAAATAATTGTAAATGAATTATAAATACTTCTCGCGTCAATGTTGATTTATTTTTAAATATTATATTTTTCTCTGTATAATTTTTACATAGGTCATGAGAGTAATATCATCTCGAAAAAGTAATATTTAATAAATCATCAAGATAACTGTTTTTCCTTAAATTAATAATAGGCATTGAAATAAGAATATTATCATTAGTAATAACAATTGTATTATCACAAGTTTTGTACACAAGTTTTGTATTATCACAAGTTTTGTCATATAGTGGAACCTATTTGATGCTTGACTAGATTTTTACATAATCATATTTTTCACAAATAGCTTTGAGAAATTCAGATGCATCTTGTTTTACACAGCTGGAAAAATTACCTCCTAATCTTGTCATACAGTAAATATATTCAAATATTCCGTTTTCGATATTCCGTTTTCATATCGATTCATTAATATACCTAAAATTTAATTTATCAGTCAAAAATTTGTTTTCTAATAACATTTGAATGCAAAAGACATTGCAAAACTGTATTTGCTTAAGACGAAACTTTATCCTTATTTTGGGACCCATGTATAGCCCAAACAGTATTTTTTGAACTGTTTCATGTGATTCTTGTACAAAAGAAATAACTTTTAAATAACTTTTATAATATATTATATATATATAATATTATGTAACATATAATATATATATAATATAATATATTATATAATAATAATAAAATGTATTGTTACGTCATGTCGACTACACAACTAGACACTAGACTTGTTTTTTGGAAATTATCAAAACCCATTGATAAACACGCGGGCCGCCGATCACGTGTCTAGCGATTATTAGAATCATCTATTAGCTTTATCTTAGAAATAAACCCATGTCTCAACCTTTCAAAATTTGTACGCATGCAGTTGATCACGTAAACAGTAATAATGAAATAAAAAATATTTTAAGAGTAAACACATGACTAGACTTTTCAAAATCTATTGATCTGACAAATAGCATGCGTGTAGTTAGTCACGTAGACAGCGAAAACGAAATAAAAACATGAAAATTTTCCTTATTAGAACCATATATATAGCGCTCTTCGAGAGTATAATATTTAGTTCAGATAGTTTATTCGATTCATTCAGTTCACTCGCGTCCATTACCCTCAGTTTAGTCAGTTCGCTTTGTACGCCCAGTACTCCCGGTATACTACTGTGATCAAATATAAACGAGATTTTTGTCATAGAATGAAAAATCTTTATTTATTCTTCAAAATCAAATTCGTCGCCTTCAAAATAATCCCCTCTCGATGCAATACACTTATGCGAACACTTTTTCCAATTCTCGAAACACTGAAAACTCTTCTTCCGGAATGGCCTTCAATACCTTTTTCGTTTCGGCTTGTATCTCCTCAATCGATTCAAAACGGTGTCCCCGGAGCGGTCTTTTGAGTTTACTGAATAGCCAGAAGTCACACGGTGCTAAATCAGGCGAATACGATGGTTGTGGAACGATATGGGTCGAGTTTTTGGCGAAATGGTCACGAAGAACCAGTGCAGTGTGAGATAGCGCATTATCGTGGTAAAACCATGAGTTGTCTGCCCATAAATCTGGCCTCTTGAGGCGAATAGCTTCACACAAACGACGTATAACACTCAAATAATATTCCTTGTTGACAGTTTGGCCCGGCGGAAGGAATTCATAATGCACTACACCACGATAGTCAAAGAAAATTGTTAACAAAACCTTGATTTTTGAGCGACTTTGGCGCGATCTTTTTGGTCTTGCCTCACCTTTTGCACGATATTCGCTCGATTAGTTGTTGTTTCCGGGTCGTACGCATAGATCCAAGTCTCATTTCCAGTTATCATGTATCATCTTGTCCTGGTAGTCAGAAATCATTATTTCGCACACTTCAACGCGACGCGTTGAGTTTTTCCAAAAAATTGAGTGTTTTTGGAAGCAAACGAGATTTGACTCTTCTTAAGCACAAATGGTCTTTCAAAATGGTCTGGACTGATCCAAATGAAATGTTTACAGTATCGGCAAGTTCTCTAATTGTCAATCAATGATTTTGAAGCACCAAATCCTTGATTTGCTTCACGTGTTGTTCATCAGTTGATGTTTTTGGTCGTCTTTGATGTGGTTCGTTTTCTACGCTTTCTCGACCATCTTTCAACATTTTATATTAGTCAAATATTCTTGGTCTTGATAGAGCTTGGTCACCAAAAGCCTTCTGCAACATTCTGAACGTTTCAGTAGCAGAAATTTCATTCCGCAAACAAAATAAAATACAATTTTTTTGCCCAACAGAATCACACATCGTAAAAATGGAAAAAAATTTTGGAATATTCACAAAAACGAGCGTTCACTATTAAACAAATGAAGAGAATGACATGAAATTTCACACAGATGTCAAAGACAGTACTACCAACTTAATCAAAAAAATATTTGTCAGAATCGATGAACTCGCGCAGTTTAAATTTAAAAATCTCGTTTATATTTGATCACAGTAGTATATTACATTCTGATTTGAAAGTCAGTCACTACAAGTAATTTAAGATCTTCCCGGCAATACCGCTCGTACACACATATCGTTTTCCAGACTCAGCAGAATAATAAATTGGAAGGTTCAATAATTTGTTATTTCGTGTCTTTTCTTCTATATATTTCTTTTACTTTCGTTCCTTCTTCCTTTTTCCTCTCACTTCTCTCTTTCTCTCTCTTACTCTCTCTAATCGCTGTGGACCTCTCGGGTTTCTAAATTTCGTAGCAGACCCTTGAAGGTTCATGATAGCCGAATAATCGGCGAACCTTTTCTCATATTCTCTTCTTTTTTTTCCTTAATATGGCTCTCGCTTCGTAGTGAACCGATCAA